AAAGCAGTAGATGGGAGCTATGGGCAGGACTCATTGCAGTTTCAGTTGCAGATTTTCCTAGGATAAGAGGTCCTTGTGACAGTGACTCCTGCCCTCATCCTCACACATCTAGATTAGTGCAATGCAGCCTATATTGGTCTGCCTTTAAAAACCACTGAGAAGCTTCTTCTTATTTATTTTGGCATACAAAGTCAGGGAAATCTACACATGGTAGACACAATGCAGTCTAACAGCCTAGATTACTAGTTCATTAATAGTTCATCGGCACTTGCATGCCAATCCTTGGTGCACTGCAGGGGACAAACTATCTTTACACTAATTAGCTAGCACCACTTGGGTTGCTGGCTCTTCCAGGCTCCTCTGCCACTCTAGCCACACCTTCATCTCCTCACGTCTGGCCAGGTCCATCGCTAGCTTCCTCTCTCCATTCATGTGGACACAGCTAGATTTTTCCCACAAAGTGGTACCCATTTATCTACTCGCAATATTGCATGCTTTCAAAGGAACTAAGAATCAGGTGCAGGGAGCTCACAGAGCCAGGCTTGAACTGTCAGAATGCAAACCATTTCTGGCCAACATTCCCAGCGTCATTAAGCCACTGCACCACCGTGTTCCCTCAAGAGGTTTTAGTTGATACAGAATACGGTCACCTGGATGCTCACTAGCAGTTGTCACTGCCAATGAGTCTTGCATTGATTCCCTGTTAGCTTTTGGTGCAATCAAAAGTACTACTGGCAACTTGTATAGCTTCAAACCAAGCTACCTACAGGATAACCTCTCTCCACAGAAATTGGCCTAACCATTGGTAGGTGATTGTTCTCCAGTTTCAGGAGGCCAGGGGTTCAATGCTCAGAATTGTTTCTTGGTGGTGGTGTTAGACCTTGAAATAGCCTCCTCCTGAAGGAGAGGTCTGTTCTTATCTTGATCACTCTCTAGGAGATGGAAACCAAGCTATTCCAGGCAGTATTTGGATTGTAATTCCTCTGTTTTGCATTGCCTGTTTTATGGTTTTTATAGTTCAGTATTTTTTCCATTTTTATTATACTGTATCTGTAAGCCACCAAAAGTCTGTTGAATTCCAGTGGGGTAACCCTGGATAATTCATATCAATTAATTAATTTCTCCCTCCTTCCCATTTGATCCAAAATATTCCTAGGATCAGGGGAAAAAAGTCCTTTATATAGTTTTTCACAATATGGAAGATACAACACAAAAAGAAAAAAGTGAAATTTCTTTCATTTCATTCCTAAATTGAAACAATAGTTCTTCTTTGATGACAGCCTGATCCAGTTCTGCAAAAAAAAAAAAAAAAAAAAACCCAAAAAAAACCTGAAAGAGTTTTTTTCTCATCTCATCTTATCTTCCATTATTGGAAATTATGATTACTGGCTGAAGGGGCTGGATAGCATTTTCTTATTCTGCAGGCAGAAGAAAATAATAGGCATCAGCTTGTATATTCCTAACTTTGTGAGGTTATATGAGAGTCCCGCAGTAACAGATGATTTGCTCTAAGATGTTCCAATGGGATGTGTGGAGTATCATTTCTGTAGTCTTTTGTGGCAGAAAATGTGATTGTTTCAGTCTCTGTGGCTGGGATCTGGGATTTGCAATAAATTGACAAACCTACCCTCGTGGAAAGGCTGGCAAGATTGAAGCTGTAAGGAGAGGAAAATAAAGGAGTGGATGGATTCAGTTTCTGGTTAGGATGTAGAGTGTAAAGCAGACGTGTAGTCTGGGCTTGTGGTTCCTGCAACTTATAGCCATCCAACTGAGGACAGGATGCTGGTTAGGATGCTTTTCCTCTTAAACAGGAACTTTGTGTCAAAACCAGCCCATCCCAGAGTAACTGGGACTCGCCAAGTTATATCTTTACAGAAGTCAAGAGTTGCTTCCTGGCGAGACCATGCTTTCAAGGGGTTTCTCTCTGTAATTTCCTTGAGGTTCCCAGGAAGCAACATGGAGGGCAATCTGTTCAAAAGGTTGATTTTGGGGCTGAGGTAAAACTAGCCAGATATGGCAGCATATCTCCGATGCAAAAGTCAAGGTAAGACTCATTTGAGTGAGGCCAGATAAAGACTGAAGACAATGCAGTTTAATGTAGAAGTCAACCAGTGCTGACCCCCTCCCCCAGAGCATTCCAAGCTGATTAAAGCAAGCCCTTTGTTTCTTCAAGCATTAGGTTGGCTGTAACCATTTACAACACTTGGCTCTGAAGTAATATTTTAGTCATGAAGACACTGTGAAGCAGATGATTTCAATCAGTCTACTTATAATGCCTTTCATATGCCGTCGGGTTTAAAATCTGACTAGACATGTTTAAAATGCCAGATGTTTTTAGAATTTTTAGCAACTGACATACAGAAATCTCTTCTGGCAACATTTCAAATGACCTATGTATCTTAGTTTCTTCCATGATTCCATTTATGGAGAAATTGATTCCATCCTCTGTTAGGTCCTTGCATGGGCCAATTTGTTATAATTTTGGATACTCTGGAAAGTTAGTTTTAGTGTTCAGAAATAATTCCATGTCAGTCCAATGTATAGTTTCTAGCAATTATAACACATGTTCTGAGGCAAGTAATCACAATGATGACAAATGTAGCAATGCTTGAGATCTGCTTTTCCTGGAGCTTTTAAAAAGGCATTCAAAGTTCAATGTAGTTAAATTAAAATAAATCCACTTGTTGACTGCAGTAGAATATATTGTTTGTTTCCAGAAAAAAAAGTCAATTTTTCTGTATCCCAAATCTACTTGCTCAAACACTGTTATAGAACATAAATTCTGCAGAGGTTTTAAATTATATTCGTGTGTGGAAAGATTTTATTCAAGCACTTGCACACATTTTATGCTGAGGATGGATTAATCATTGCCACTGCAAAAGAAATTGCTGAATTAAGAAAAATGGTAGACTGTTAATCACTGTTGCTTTTCTGTATTGATTAAAATCTATTTACTAAAAACAGTAGTATATAAATATAACAATTATTACAATAAATCAGTTTAAAACAATATAGCATCTAAATAGTTCATTTTGTATTATACTATAAATTGTTTATAACAGTGTGGTATAAGCTGTTTACTACAGTTCAGTTCATGTTATTATGCTATAGATGTATGGCTAAATAAATAACTGTGATTGTTTGAAATACAGTGTGCTGGTTCCAGAGTTGTGTGATTCACCTCATAGACCAGATATTCCAAATAAAGAAAGGATTTTCTTTATTTCACTTGTGATGACTTGTGTCCCTAAAAAGACGATAGTGTGATAGTGACCAAAATTACAGCTCCATCTTGGGCTGGAGTGGGGTATCTTTTTTGAGTTCTGGTTAATTTTGTTAATTATTTATCTACACAGTTCAGAATTAGCTATGATAACTACTTTCTAATACCTTTTGATCTGCAAACCATTCAGAGGACCTCTTTACAATTCACTGCTAAAAGGGCTATGGCGGCTTGATGTAATAGGATATGTGAGAAAGACCGTGGGAGACTGAGCAAAGAGATGCTGCCACCAAACTGTCAGATAAGAGATAACATAGCCCATGGCTGGATAGTGAGTGAGGCAAGTGGCTCAGAAGAGACCCTTCCTAGTTTTCCAAGCAATAAAGGAGCAGAAGGAGAATAGTACTTTCACATTTGCAAGTATCTGTCAATGCATCATTACAATAAAATAGAGTAGGCTCATCTGAGGCTGATATCAATCTTGAAAGTACCATTCTCTTCCTGATCCATCTCCGAATAAACAGCCCAATTAACTGTTCATAAGTACTGGTTTCTGACAACTACTAATAACTGACAATTTTTGAGAACTATATTTAACAATATCCTGTTTAGCAACAATTCACAATTACAATGGCAATGAAAAATGATAAATTCTCAGGCTTTGCAAGTCAGTAAATCAAGGGAAAGTTGAAGTAAGATCATAAGCATAGCTGCAGTTTCACTAAGTGACCATTTCACTTAACAACCAAGTTACCAGTTCCAATTGTGATTACTAAATGAGGACTACCTGAATACTTCCTAAATTCCAACCAGAATTTGGTTGGATTTTGCAATATATTACAAATGATTTAATTTTATTTGGAAAAAACTATAGATGTTAAACATACAAGGCCAAGCTGAATTAATACTAAGTACTATTTATATAAATAAAATATAAATAGTAAAATATATTTTTTTATATTTATATTCTATTTTTATTACACCAAAAATATCACTTGAAGACAAGATTGCCAAATAGAGGCTGTCATACTTCGATCATGTCATGAGAGCTGACTTATTCAAAAAGTCAACCATGCTAGGAGTGATCAGAAAAAGGAGAAGGGGCTGCCTGTTGGCTGGACATAATAAAGGATAACACCAGGATGATGATGGTGGATCTGAAGGAGGCAATGTGAGACAGAGGGGCATGTATGGAGAGTGCTGATCCATAGAGAGGCCCAGGGTCAGACACAGTTGAATGGCTGATGACAACAATAACTATTTATATAACAAGATATTGTTCAAAATCCTTTTACTACATTTCAAGGATAGATTACCATGCTCAGATTCCTGTTTTTAATCTAGTTTGTAGTATAGATTGTGCTCTGCTTTGACTCTTTTTAGATATTGAGTATCAGACTAGTTGTACATTAACAAAATTGAATGTGGTATGCTTAAATGTACAGGCAGACCATTAATGAGTATTTATTCTTCTAAAATCTAGCCTTTAATGGAAAAGTGTCCATTGCATATGTACATACCAACATCTACTATCACAAAAATGTGTTGTATATTTTTTTTTCCATTTTAACTTCTTTATCATGATGATAATCATTTATGGATACCCAAATAAAGCACCAGAGCATGATTTATTTCATTGCAATGCCAAAGTGGCAAGTTTTTTATTTTATTTTGGAGGTATGCCACTCTTTGCCCCACCAGTAAAAGATATCATATGCCTTACAATAATATTATGCTAAAGCTGTTTTTCCCTCCTTCTCTGCTTCTCTCACTTTAGATGGGCTTAGGACATGAAGAAGGATTTGGAGCCCCATGTTTAAAATGTAAAGATAAATGTGAAGGATTTGAGCTACACTTCTGGAGGTAAAATTATGTATACTTACATAGATAGATATGGATAGTTAGTAATGCAGATAAAATCTGATTATATAAGGCATTAGATGTTAATAAATAGCCTTTGTTTTGATATAATATTAAAAAGGGAATGAAATTTTGAAAGTCTCTATATTTAGGATTTTTAGAGTATGTAATGGATCCTTCCCCAAAATGGCCAGCATAATTGGTGGTGCCAAACAGAAAACATCCCCTTATCAAATAGGCATACTTGCAAATATGTTGGGCTGCAGCTACTTACTTTTATGTTTTAATAATGTCTCTGTGGGATGTGGAAGGTTCAAAATCATTTTTTGGAAATAAAGATTATGCTTGAAATTGGTTCTCTGTACAGGGAAATAACCTAATGAAATAGGTAGGAGATAAGTATCAAATAATGGGTCTACAAGCACACTGTGGATCCATGCAGTAAACTGAGGCATTTACAGGCACACAATTGGACATGTTTCAAGTTAGAGGGGGGGGGGGGTATATGATTTGCTTTAAAACCTACAGTTTAATATTTTTCCACTAGATGGGAGTATAACACTTGTTACCCTATATTTTTTGCTATGAATGTAGAAAAAAAAACACTTAGACTTCTTCATTTAGTTATAAGGAAAGTTCCTAACATACCAGTTGAGGAATTTAAATTACTGCTATGTGACTAATGATGTAAAAGGCCTTAAATCTGCATAATTGTGATCATCAAAAAATTCTTTTTGGATAAGTGTCCAATTTAGCATTCTAGGACCATACATGGCCAGCACTTCAGTGTTTTACAGATTTTGGAATCTTGGTTGCTGTTCACATCATAGAAAAAAGAATGTGAATAAAATCTTTATATTCTTGAACATTTTCAGAAATGTGGGGAGATTTGTGTTGTGCAGAAGAGACTCCAAATTGCTGTTAATAGTAAAAACATAAAAATATACCTGCTGGATCAGATTGGTTATGGTGATCAAACAGAACTTTGTGTGGTGACCACAAGCAGAAAGCAGAGGCAGATCTATATTCCACTGTTGTGTGCCTCTCATTATTGAAAGGGATACTGTCCCCAAATTAATGATAACAATTTAATCTCAGAATCAATAGTTTTGAATAGTCCTGTTTTGTCTTTGCCTTGGTATGTACTGACCTAAATTAAAATGATTATCAACCCAGTTCATTTTAAATGTTGCTGAAATGTAACTATTACTTTCTTAATTGTTTGGATATAAATTGGGAAACAGTGCATATCCTCTTTTGTATTTAAATATAATTTAGGAAAACTTATAGTTTAAAAATTGTAAATTGAGACAAAAATCAGTTAAGTGTGTTATAAAAACTAAGGATAGAGAAAATACAATAAAATTGGTAACTTTAAATTATAGAACAACAAACATCAAATGCTGTTTCATTCTTGCCTATACATAACTTTATTTATTTAACAAGTTTATATAACTGTTCAATTCACAAATAGCGTCTCTGTTAAAAATCCAGTATAACCCCCTGACCCCTCCCTTTAGCTACTTATTAACAACAGAACAAGTAAGAAACTCATACTACATCCCATAAGGGCAAGTTCTGAAATTTGGATGCTACTTAAAAGTACTTGTTAAGACTCATTAGATCAGGCATGTCAAACTCGCAACATCACATGACGTCACACGACATATCACAGCAATGGAGTTGGCGCGCTTTCAGCGTGATGCATCTGGCCCGCGGGCCGGCAGTTTGACATGCCTGCATTAGATGCTCATAGAAAAAATATCTGTGGTTCAGAGTTAAACTATTGAGTCTTAATGCTCTCTGAGCTTGGTTGTTTTCTTGCAGAAATTTCTTTACCCAACTAGATAAAATCTTCAGTGCTAGAATTAAAGTAAATCCTACACCCTTCTAGCACTGAAGATGTTACCTTTTGGGGTAATAAAATATCTGCAAGAAAACAATCAAGCTCAGAGAACATCATGGACTCCACCACTGATAAAACAAATAATAAGGCTTCCGGTAATAATAGGTAACTGAGAAACTTCTTTGGTTTTTCTGGACATTTGTTCATGGATTTTACTAAATAATAAATTTCAGCAGTAAAGAAAAGTGGAACTATATTTGTGATGATTGTATGTTATAATTACAGTTGGGATTCTGCTGGGCTGAATAAGTTCTACAAGACCAGTTCTATTTTCATGTATCTATGTTGTCTAAATTATGCTTCTCATTTGAACCTAGAAAAATATGTCGAAATTGCAAGTGTGGGCAAGAAGAACATGATGTTCTCACCAGTAATGAAGATGACCGCAAAGTGGGAAAGCTCTTTGAGGATACAAAGTATACAACTCTAATTGCAAAGCTGAAATCAGATGGTATCCCCATGTATAAGCGTAATGTAATGATACTGACTAATCCCATGACAGCCAAGAAGAATGTGTCCATCAATACAGTAACTTACGAATGGGCACCTCCTGTTCAGAATCAAACCTTGGTGAGATATCAGCTTATTATCATAAAGACTCATATGTTAATGAGGAATAATTATCCTTTCTGCTTATGGTGGAGTTGGAAGGAGACAAGCAAGTCAGGAATAGTCTCTTTTGGCAGGCAGAAAGTATATATAAGAAATGTAATATGCAAATGGCATAATTGTCTCAGCTACAATTCATGACTGAATGTGCAGATAAGAGGAATTTACTTTCCTGGTTTTCTTGTGCAAGTTTCTCTTCAAGCAGCGAGTGCAATTGGTTTGCAGCATGGACATAAGAAAAATAATGATGTTTGAGTGAGACTAAAAAGGAAGGGGAGGTGAGTTTGTGCTCATAATTAGGAGTAAGCATTACATTGGAGGCATCCCTGCCACTTAAGATGATTTATGAATCCTCAAACGAACCATTTTAAAATGACATTCCGAAATGGGACACCACACTGGGAAAAAACCCGTGAACCTATGTCATCACTTAAATGCTGAGGAAAAGCACTCAAGCATGCACATTTCTGTTACTGTATATGGTCAGAATAAATTCAGTATTGTCAACCAAAAGAAAAAGCTCCCTCTGTTTTATTAAATTATTCTTCTAGACGAGATAGTTGGGTAGCCTTGTTGGGATTTTTCTTTTTTCCTTTTAGTGCTTCAATCTTAAGTTTATATAACGTCATGCTGGGTGATCTAAAACAGAAGCACTTGTAAACCTTAAAGGATTAGGTTTTAGGGATTATTTAAGAAACACTGTGAAGATATTTGTTAGATTTGTTATACAGTATTTTGCTATTAGGAAAAATCTTATTTTGGGGGAGAAAATAATCCTTCTGTTGTCAGGAGACCAACAGCAAATCATAGTTAAGATAAAAACTAATTAATAGCTAAAAGTGTTCAGTGTTAGTACTGAGTGACAGTGGAGGAGAGCCACACTTTTATAACCTTAAATCTAAATTCTGGCTCTTTGTTTCAGGTGACTTAGCAACTCTATCTCCCCCCATCCACATCTTGTTCTCTGTTTCCCCTGAAGATGAGCAATTTCTACAGAGCACTCCTAATCTCCTTTCATTGTTTGTTTAGAAAGCTGGAATCTAATGGACCATTAATTTTAGCCCTCTTTCCTCACTCTTTAGGCGAGGCACTATATGCAGATGCTTCCAAAGGAGAAGCAGCCTGTGGCTGGCTCGGAAGGGGCTCAGTACCGCAAGAAACAATTGGCCAAGCAGCTGCCTGCTCATGATCAGGACCCTTCCAAATGCCATGAGCTAACACCTAATGAGGTGAAGCAGATGGAGCAATTTGTGAAGAAATACAAGACCGAGGCGCTGGGCGTGGGTGATGTCAAGCTTCCCAGTGAAGTGGAAGGGAAAGCCGAAGAGAAGAATGTCCTAAGTAATGGCAAGAAGGGAACCTCCACTACTGTAGGAGCCATGGAAGACAAACAGGCTGGTCAGAAAGGAACTCAATATGTAAGTGGTTGATGCATGTGTACATGAGTGTGCGTGTTCAGACAGCAGATCAAAGAAAATAAATTATTTGGAAGTTTATTCCCTCATAATGTGCTTCCTGTATTTGCAGCTTAAAGTATTATAATTTTGTCTCTTTTAAAAAAAGAAATGAAAGTTTTTGCTTGCATAAAATCCTATCCCTTTAGATCAGTGGTTCTCAACCTGTGGGTCGGGACCCCATTTGGGGTCGAACGACCATTTCACGGGGGTCGCCAAACCATGCTGTCTGCCATTTTTTTCCCTTTTCCCTAGCTGTTCTACTCCCTCTTGTTGGTGGCCACACCCACTTGGGGGTCACCACAACATGGGGAACTGTATTATGGGGTCATGGCATTAGAAAGGTTGAGAACCACTGCTTTAGATGTTATTATTTTAAGGGGGTTTTCTGCAAACTAAAATTGATAGAACAAAAATAAACACCTATGGTGACCAGGACTGGTGATTACTGATAGGAGAGGGATCCACAGAATCTGACAATTTCTACTACTGGTTAGACTTTAATGAAAAAAATGATCTTAAGAAATCATCTAGGCCAGCCCCAAGCTCAGTGCAAGGATCTTTCTTTTAATAAGTAACAGAGATGTAACAGTGTAAGATTTGTTTAAATACCATTAGGGGCATCCACCATATATTAGACAGCCTCAATTAAAAAAAAATTCAAAAGCTGAGCCAAAATATCCACTTCATAATTAGAATATCTTTTGGGCAGCAACAGAGAGCAATTCAACCATGCAGTGCTCTTACAATAATATTAATATAACATGCCCAACTGGAGATCTGCATAGAGATCAATATTTTGTCTTTTGCTGGTAAGCAAGCTATATTTAGATGAGAGACATTAGTTCCCCAAAGAGGTGTGCTGTATTATTTCTTTTTAAATATTTTTCAAGAGGAAAACTGATAACCCTGCAGGAAAACAAATCTCCCTAGAGGTGGATAGAGGAAACTGACCATTGAATAGAAGCCAACAAAAGAAAGCCATTCTTGTTTCCTCTTTTTCCCACTTAGTTTAAAAAGAAGGTGCTTTGGTACCACTTTAAAATTGAATTTACAACTTCCTCATTGTTTGTTTCAATCAATGAGTCATGAAAACAGACACACCAAAAAGCCAGTGTGCTATATAGATACAGAAGCAAATCCCCCCCTCAGTTTATTGATGCTCATGGGGAGAGTTTCTCAACCCAGCATTCCACATATGATTGAGGTGGGGGAAAATATGATGAAATTTTGATAACCTGAGATTTAGGCACTTTTCTCTTTCTCCAGAGTGGCCATAAAAAGCAGACTTCGAATATCTGTTTTATATATTATCATTTTCTGAAATCCAAACTGAGAAATAAAAAAGGCAAATAGTTGTAGCCTAGCGTAATGTTTTTTAGCTTGGCAACTTTAAGATATGTGGACTTCAACTCCCAGAATTCTCTAGCCAGCAAAGGTTGAGAAACACTGGTCCTAGTGCTTTTGTTTGAAAGTGTGTTCAACTTTAGGCGACAATAGGAAGTTTCCTGGAAGGCAGTGAACAATTTCAACTGTTTCAGGGACTTGTGCCAATCACATACTTCCGTAACTTTCCAAAGGTAGGAAATTCATGAAAGACCATCAGTTTATGGTCCATAGTATGTTCTTGTCACATATAATGATAAACAGGACTTCGTTTTTTAAAAAAAGTTGTTGTGTTCTAACTTTTCTTTGCAACCATATCAGGAAATATATTTCAACAATATTCTTATCTGTTGCTTATAAATGTTTTCTAATGTCTGAGTTCAAACTTTACAAAACTTGATTGTCAGTCTTTGGGGTCTTTGGACTCCTTGCTACATCTCAGGCTGATTTACAAATTAATTTAAAAGATCTATTCAACTAAAATATGAGCTAGAGCATAGATTAAAAAGAGCTTTGGAGTGTAATTAGATTACATGTATTGCTTCTAGGGCATTCTGGAATATTACCTTGTTACCAATACTTTGTGCTCCCACAATAACTCTGAGATATGATAGTTGACTTTCTCACATTTTTCATTAATCTAATCTGATAAATGGAATTTGCAAAAGGAGAATGGTTAGGAACTAATAGTCCATATATTCAGCTACAATTTCTAATATACCTTATGATTGGTCTGCTAGAGGTTGGAATTTGGATCGTAAGAGGAGCATAGAATTTCCTTCTCATGCTAAATCATGAACTATTCAGTAATTGAAGATTCATCACATATCCAGCCATCACCTTTAAGGCTGATTTAAGACTAGCAAATTTTCAAATCTCTTATATAAACATATATCAAAAGACCCAGTAGTTCAAGAAGAAAAAAACAGGAATCATCTACAACATATAGTGTAAAGACTCTATAACAGCTACTATGTAGGACAGGCAAGCAGAAGAGTGCTTCCATGAACACTAAGCAGCCACAAAACACGATGAAAACTCCTTAATTTCACAACACATGGACAATCTCAAGCATAGTTTCAACTAGAAAACTCTGAGATTCTATACCAAACTAAATCTTAAAATACTAGGGAATTCTTGGAAGCGTGGCCCTGAGATAAATAATCCATCAACGGGCACATGAAATCACATTTATACATCATTCAAAAGGAATTAAAAAAGTCTAAAAGAGACTCAAGAGACTAAAAATGACAAAAGCTAAAAAAAAAAAAGGGACAAGAAAGACCAGCAATTAAAACCCAGATAGGCAGGGATTTGCACCAGGATTGTTGTTGTTAGTTGCGAAGTCGTGTCCGACCCATCGCGACCCCATGGACAATGTTCCTCCAGGTCTTCCTGTCCTCTACCAGCACCAGGATTAAAACCAGACAAAGAAGCAGTAAGCAATATCCTAATCAAGAAACTATCAACTCAGACAAACAATCAAGCAGTAAACAATAGCCTAATCAAAGAACTGCCAAGGAGAAAAGAACTCCCTACTAATTCTGACAGGGCAAGCTACTGCATATGACCAAACCCCATTCTTTTCTAGCACAGAAGATGTTACTTTGCCAGATAATGAAACACCTGCAAGAAAACAACCCAACTCAGAGAGAACCAAGAACTCAATAGTTTATTTAGCTGTTACTGTATCTCCCAATTCGAATATCTTTTCCTTTTCACGTTTTGTGTGTTGTACTGATCTTTTATGCTTTTAATCTACTTACCATCCAGAGTTGTTCTGAATGGATTGCCTACATACTCTCCTACAAGTATGATTAAATGAATAAATAAATACCGTAATAGTTCAGTTCTCCAGTTAAGCAGACTCCAGTGTGATTTTTGTGGTTTCTTTGCAGTTCTGTTTCCGGTGCAATCAAAATATGAAAGAAGGTGATCCAGCTGTGTATGCTGAGCGGGCTGGATATGACAAACTCTGGCATCCTGCTTGCTTTGTCTGCTGCACCTGCAGTGAACTCCTGGTAGATATGATCTATTTCTGGAAAAATGGGAAACTCTATTGTGGCCGACACTACTGTGACAGTGAAAAACCTCGCTGTGCTGGATGTGATGAGGTGAGCAAGAGTCTTCCTAGTTGTTCTTTGGTGCCCAGAAGAAGTAATGACCCATGAGGCAAGAATCCCTTTTGCCTAGTTTTCTATCTCCTAAGATTGGCCACCAATGCCAGATATACTCTGGTCAGAATCTGAGTGTGATGGATCTGCTTAGCAATTCTAGCTTTTAACTTTGCCAAATTCTTTTTTTGTACAAAGAGAAAAAAAGTTAAAGATCTCCATGCAACTTTGAATTCCATTGGCAGATTAATTCCTTTGACTCTTGAAATAATTTAATTGGTTGACCTTAACTGCCATGTGTACAGACATGTTTCTGAGTTCAGAGGCATTCTTTTGGTACTACCAGCCAGTACTGAATAAAGTAGAAGATAAGGCATAGAAGCCAACATACAGAAGTTTGGATTCACCTGAATTTTGGATAATGGGGGATGAACTATTTTGCCCAGGAGAGGCTTTAGGAACATTCTTGATAGAACAGTCCTCATGGATCAGGCCAAGGTGCATTTTATTAGAGCATTTTTTCCCATTTCTAATATGTCCTTTTTAAAAAAATGTGGGGACCAGAAATTGCATGGTATTTCAGATGCAAATATGTAATAAGTTTCTTCATTGTCATTACAACATTCTCATTTTTATTTTTGCCTGCTTTTCTAAAGGATCCTAGCATGGAATTATATTTTTCCCCAGATTGCTGTATTCTGAGTTGACATTTTTCTTGAAATATCACAAGAATATTTTTCCTATTGGTTCTAAGTATAAAGTTATAGTTTTTGCCCTAATGTGTATTCCTTTGTGCTTACTTAAACTGAACAATGGATAATGGTTTAAACCAATTTTATAAAGTTAACTATGAATTCTTATCAGCTTACCCAAAATAAAAGTAAGACTGTGTAAGGACCCACCCCACTTTGCATCTTAAGAAGACAGAACTCTTGGAATAGCTCTTCCAACAGGAATCCTTTATTAAGAGAAAATGGTTGCAGGCATGCTAGACAGGACTTGGGGTTCAAGCTCTCCCATTCAAGGTTTTAAGGGGTTCCCCAGTAGTCCCACCCAATCAACCCCCCTTCCAGTGATAGTTTCAAGTATCACAATTCCATCCCCTTTCTTCTTCCGTCTGGATGGAGACTTCAGATAACTACATGAAAGGCAATTACTCTTCTTTGATATGTTAAAGCTTAGAGGCCACAATAAACACACATTCAGTCCTTTGAAGTGTGCTGAAGGAAGTGAGGGCCATAAAGCCCCTTTGCTCTCCCCCTTTTCTCCCTCTTATGGCAGAATCCAGAGAAGGCAGAATTGGGAGTTTCTATGTTTGATAATTAAAGATGAAATATAATTGGATTCTGACATCCGGCCCCTCTTAACAATAAGAGAGATCCACCTGAAAGAAAACACAAGTAAAAAATTTAGTTAGGCTTGTTAGGATACTCTGTGTGAAACTTCTTCAATAGCTTCGGGGCTCTGACGTGACGTTTATGGACCCACTCATTTTGTGAGGCAGGGAGGTGTTTCCAGGCAACTAGGTACTGAGTTGTTCCACGATATCTCCTAGAGTCAAGGATCTCTTTTATTTCGAAGTGTTGTTCCCCCTCCACCATGATTGGAGGTGGTGGGGGGGGGATTTTTGGCCGTAGAGGTGACTGATGCTCTCTTTTCAGCAAGCTGCAATGAAAAATTGGGTGTATTTGCCTGAGGTTTTTGGGTAATTCTAATTCTACTGTTACTGGATTTATGATCCTTTTAATTGGAAAAGGTCCTATATATTTTGGTCCAAGTTTTTTACAGGGCTGTAGGGACTTTAGGTATTTTGTAGATAAGTACACCATTTCTCCTATAATGAATGGTGTAGGCTCAACCCTTTTTTTATCGGCTTGTGCTTTGTATGCCCGCCTAGCTTCATCTAGTGATTTTCTGACTATTGGCCAGGTGTTTTGTAGGCTTTCCATCCATTCTTTCAGTGAAGGGATCGTTGGTTCTTTTGGGGTTAACTCTGGCATAGGGTTGAAACTTTGGCCGTTGGCTATTTGAAAAGGAGTGTAGCCTGTGCTGGAGTGGACTGCATTATTGTAGGCAACTTCTGCAAAAGGAAGTAAGTCCGTCCAATCACTCTGTTGGAAATTTAAAAAACATCTCAAATATTGCTCAAGTACCGACTGGCAGCGTTCCGCTTGTCCATCTGTCTGAGGGTGATGGCTAGATGTCAGTCCCTGAGTGGTCCCTAAGAGGGATAAAAATTCCTTCCAAAATGTAGACGTAAATTGCACTCCCCTATCAGAGATGATGCGTTGGGGTGCCCCGTGCAATCTGTAAATGTGCTGGATAAAAAGTTTTGCTAAGGCCTTTGCAGTGGGAATTTTTTGGCAAGGGATAAAGTGCACCTGTTTGGAAAATAGGTCCGTGACTGTCCAGATAACAGTATTCCCATTGCTTTCAGGCAATTCCACTATAAAATCCATGGCTATTTCCCTCCAGGGGGCTGAGGGACTTGCCACTGGTTGTAACAGCCCTGGCGATTTCCCTTGCAACCTCTTTGCTGATGCACAGGTTGGGCAGCTGGCAACATAACTTTCTATGTCCTTTTTTATTGATGGCCACCAAAATTGCCGTTTAATTAAGTGTAAAGTTTTTACAAATCCAAAATGCCCTGCTGATTTTGTGTCATGGCAAAGTTGCATGAAAGTTAGTCTTTGAGTTGTTGGTATATATAACTTTTCCCCTACCCAAGGCAATCCGTCTCTCATTGTGCACACATGTTTGTTTTTCTGGAACCAATCATCTGTTTCCAAACTTTTTCTGAATTCAATCCCAGTTTGGCTGTCCAGTTGTGGTTTTATTTTGGCTTGGGTTCTTGTGGTTACTGGCGCTGCCAGTTGTGATTCTGCCATTATTGGTCTAGAGTCTGTGGTTCGTGCGCTGTTATATTGGGGCATGCGAGATAGTGCATCTGCCAGGAAGTTCTTTCTTCCTGGTAAATGTTTGAGCTTAAATTGGAATTGGTGAAAATGCTGGGACCAGCGGGCTTGTTTGGGATTGAGTTTCCTGGAAGTTTTCAGGGCTTCTAAATTTTGTGATCAGTCCATACCTGGAAGGGGATTTTGTTGCCTTCCAGGAACTGTCGCCACGTGAGTAATGCCCAACGTATCCCATAAGCCTCCTTCTCCCATACGGGCCAGCGCTGTTCTGTTTCCGTGAGTTTCTTAGATGTATATGCACAGGGTTGCAATACTGCATCATCATTTTCTTGTAATAGCACAGCCCCCACTGCCACATCACTTGCATCTGCCTGTATTATGAAGGGCTTGTCCATATCTGGGTGCCTTAGTACTGGTTCGGCAGAAAAAAGTCTCTTTAGTCTCTCAAACGCTGCTTGGCACTCCATTGTCCATGTTAGTGGCTGGCTAGGTTTTACTGAGGATGTTCCCTTCGTTTTTAGTAAGTTGGTGAGGGGCAAGGCTATCTGTGCAAATGAGGGGATGAATTGGCGGTAAAAATTTGCAAAGCCCAGGAAACTTTGTAGTTGTTTTCTTGTGCGGGGTGGTGCCCATTCTAATACTGCTCTGACCTTCTCTGGGTCCATTTCAATGCCCTGTGGGGATATGCGATAGCCTAGGTAGTCTATCCTTTCCTGGTGGAATTCGCATTTTGAGAGTTTGGCATATAGGTGAGCGGCTCGCAGCTTCTTTAAAACCGCTCTGACAAGTTTGACGTGTTCTTCTTTTGTTTCGGTAAAGATAAGAATGTCGTCCAAGTAAACAAGGACCCCCTTAAACAGGTGCTCCCTTAGAACGTCATTGATTAATTGCATAAAGACTGCAGGGCCCCCTTGTAATCCAAATGGCAAGACTTTGAATTGATAGCACCCCATGGGGCAGTTAAATGCAGTCTTCCATTCGTCCCCTTCCTTGATTCTCACGCGATAGTAAGCTTCCCTTAAGTCTAGTTTAGAAAAAATTTTCCCTTTCGATAGGTGTGACAGCATGTCTTTCATGAGGGGCAGCGGGTATAGGTTGCTTTCACTGATTGTGTTCAGGGCCCTATAATCCACGCATAAACGTAAAGAGCCATCCTTCTTCTCTCTAAAAAGGACCGGGGCAGCCACTTTAGGCTTAGCTGGTTCAATGAAACCTCTCTCCAGGTTTTTTTTTATAAATCTTTCCATTTCCTCCTTCTCCTTTGGGCTCATGGAGTATAATCTGGGTTTCGGGAGTTTTGCCCCAGGCTTGAATTCAATGGTACAGTCTGTGGGTCGGTGGGGGGGAAGCTCATTCGCCCTCTCCTCACTGAAGACTTCAGCAAGGTCCCTATATTCCTCTGGTATTTCTGTTAATCTTTTTTCCTCTCCTATGGATGCTTTTTCTATTCTTGATTCTGGTAGCCTCTCTTGGGGTTTTAAGTCCATAGGGTCCCCCTTCGGGAATTTGATTTCTGTCGTCCTCCAATTTACCCAGGGGTTCCATTTTTTCAACCATTCCATCCCTAGAATCATTGGGCATTCCATACCTGGGGTCACCACAAACGTTAAGTCCTCTTCATGGTTGCCCAGGGAGAGGTGTATTGGCAGAGTGGCTAGGGTAGCTGGCACCCCCCCTGCTATGGATCCATCTAGCTGGCCAAATGAGATTGGTTGTTCCAGTCTCCTGGATGGGATGCCCAGATTCCCCACTAGTGTTGGGCTAATGAGGCAGCGGGTGCAGCCAGAGTCTATTAAGGCTTTCACCTTCACAGCTTCGGGCATGGGGGGGATTAATATAGTCACTGTTTTGAAGATGGGTGTGATGCGTCCACTTACCAGGGGTTCGCCTTCCGAGCTGTCATCTGAGGCATCCACCGTCCCTGTGGTGTAGGCTGGAGTTCTTTCCCCTTGGTGAGCAGAGGTGGGGTTTTCTGCAATTTCCATCATTTTCATGGCTGTTTCTTTTGGCTTAGCTGAATACCCTCTGGGTTTGTTGATTGGGGATCTGTCTGGGTTGTGCTGGGGGGCCTTTGAGCGGCATTCTACAGCTCGATGCCCTTCTCTTCCGCACTTGAAACACCCCATCTGCTTCTTGGCTGTATCCGATGATTTCACCGGTTGGTGTGTCAGCTCAGGCGGGGGGCGGCTCCATTGTTTTCCTCGGCGATGCCTCTTCAATATGTCGATCTCTGCTTCCTCTGCCAAGACGTACCATTCCTCAAGTCGATGTGGGTCTCCTCGGGGCAGGCAAGCATCATATAGATCATAGTTTAGTCCGTCTTTGAAACGGCCAAGGAGGATGTCTTCTGGCCAATTCAGTTTGCTGGCAATGGCTCGGAATTCTTGTGTATACTCAGCCACTGGGCGTTTGCCCTGCCTCATCGTTGTTATTCTTTCACGGGCTTTGCGATCAGCCAGGGGGTCTTCAAACCGTCTTCTCAACGAGGACATGAAACGGTTGAAGTTACTGAGTTCTGGGGCATTGGAGTCATGCAGGTTCACCACCCAATCTGCAGCTGGTCCATCCAGGGCAGATTGCACGATCCGGATGCGGGCTTTGTCGCTGGGGATGTCCTGCCCATATTCCTCCATGTAGCTGAGGACTTGGGTTAGGAAAAACCCCAAGCGTGTTGGCTCCCCTTTGAATTTCACCTCCAACGGTGGACGTCTTGGAATGGATCGGTGCCTCCATTGTGGGTGGTAGTGTCTTCCGTCCAGATTTCCATCTGTGGTCCGGTAGGGGGTGGGAGCTCCTGGATCAGTAAATGTCCCTGGGGTTGCAGGTTCCACGTCCCCCTCGGTGTCTCTCCCTTTGTGGCTCCAGGAACTGGGGCGGGCGTAGGGCTCAGGAATCTCCTCTCCTAGGGAGCTGAGAGTTCTCTTCATCAGGTCAATAGCTCTCTCTAGGATCCAGTCTGAGTACGGCATACAGCTTCCTCCCTCTTCACTTGCGTGCAGGGATTTCTCCATCTCCTGCTTCCATTCTGGTTGCTTGGTCCCCCGTCTCAGGGTCACTTTTCTTGATTCCTTTCCCCACTCGCTTTTCTTTCCAACGCCCATCGACCAGCGAGGCTTGTGGTCCTGTGTCTCCACCACTTCTTCTTCTGAGAAATCTGGCCTCTCGGATCCCAACATCTGGCAAGGTTCCAACTGGGTCAGCGGCTCTCTTTCCAGGGAGTTTTCTCCCTCTCTTGCTTCGTTGTCTGACATGGTAAATTTTTGCAAAATCCCCCGGCAAGGGTCTACCTTCCAGGTGGATTAATTTTGCAAGTCCTGTCTAATGTAAGGACCCACCCCACTTTGCATCTTAAGAAGACAGAACTCTTGGAATAGCTCTTCCAACAGGAATCCTTTATTAAGAGAAAATGGTTGCAGGCATGCTAGACAGGACTTGGGGTTCAAGCTCTCCCATTCAAGGTTTTAAGGGGTTCCCCAGTAGTCCCACCCAATCAACCCCCCTTCCAGTGATAGTTTCAAGTATCACAATTCCATCCCCTTTCTTCTTCCGTCTGGATGGAGACTTCAGATAACTACATGAAAGGCAATTACTCTTCTTTGATATGTTAAAGCTTAGAGGCCACAATAAACACACATTCAGTCCTTTGAAGTGTGCTGAAGGAAGTGAGGGCCATAAAGCCCCTTTGCTCTCCCCCTTTTCTCCCTCTTATGGCAGAATCCAGAGAAGGCAGAATTGGGAGTTTCTATGTTTGATAATTAAAGATGAAATATAATTGGATTCTGACAGACTGTTTATTTAGACATATTAGGCTTCATAGATAAATTCCATAACTACAATGCACTCATTATAAACAGTAGCCTTAAAAAGGCCCTGAATTTCTTTTCTAAGCTTATCTCAGTATAATGTTATTTTTAATTGAGAACTACTCTGTAAATCAGAAAACTCTTAAATAAACTTGTCCTAGTTATAACACTTAGTCCAGGTGTTCTTCACTTCAGACTGATGTGTGCCTCTCTCTTCTGTTACACACTGTTTTGCCATACAGATGGTATGGCTGATAAATTAATTATCCTAGTATCATTCAGTGAGAATTACATTCTGTAAGATCAATTCAATGCATCAGTTGCACATGGCAATTCAAATGACACATTATAATTTCCAGAAATGTTTAGCATTAACCAGAGCTACAGTTTTCTACTGCTATATAAAAATAATTTGTTGTTAACTGAAATTGAAATGAGAAGGATGGCTATTCTTCATTTTCATTTTTTTAAAAGGGACCCTAAAAAGTTTTATTTAAAAATCCTGTCTATTAAATAGAACAAACTAATACCACACCATGACATGTAGGAAGCAATTCTTAGTACATGTGCTGTGGTAGAAGAAAATAATTGTGCAAGTATATTAATGTGAACCTGGTAACTGTCTTTCCTCTAGCTTATTTTCAACAATGAGTATACACAAGCTGAAGGTCAAAACTGGCATCTGAAGCATTTCTGCTGCTTTGATTGTGACTGTGTCTTGGCTGGAGAAATCTACGTCATGGTTAATGAAAAGCCCATCTGCAAACCCTGTTATGTGAAGAATCATGCTGTGGTAAGAAAATCTAGCTTTGCCTGGAATATATAACTACTGTGTAAAGTTACATATTTAAGTGAACTTTCACAAATCTTGTTTCATGAATAGTTCCTTGAAAGACCATTTTCCAGGAGAAAAATAAGAGACAATACAATCTTACACATTGTAAATCGTACTATTAATAAGATAATGCAATAATACAGTATGTAACAACTACTAGCTGATTCCCAATCTTCCTTTTTAGATTTTTGAGAAAGTGATGGTGATTGTAAAGGTTATCAGGACCTTTTTCATTCAGGATTCAGAATGGGAATTCTGGGCATGAGCAGAAATTGCACTGATCACCCTAATGGTTGGCCTATATCCGATGTTTGATATAGGAGGGTACTCCTTCTGGTCCTTTTAGATTTTTTGATAGCCTTGGCTATTGTCACTCATGTTTGCCTCCAAGACTGCCTGCAACTGTTGAGAGTCAGTATCTGCAAGTTTTGAGAATCAGAGGCATTCTTTTAAAGTACTTCAATTCCTTCCTATTCAACCTCTATATCAGTGGTTCTCAACCTGTGGGTTGGGACCCCATTTGGGGTCGAATGACCATTTCACAGGGGTCGCCAAACAAGGCTGTCCGCCATTTTTTCCCCTTTTCTTTGGCCACACCCCTGGCACCTGGTGATGTATAAGTGGTTGGGGGTCACCACAACATGGGGAACTGTATTATGGGGTCGCAGCATTAGAAAGGTTGAGAACCACTGTTCTATATGAAGCTGTTAAATAAGTTCATATTTCAGTTCAGCTTATAGGACCTTCCCTAATGACACCCAAACATCATCATTCTAAGTTAGGTGGGAATTCAGTAGAAATGCTGGCATGGTGTGTCAATAGAAATTCTCAGTCATCCAAGTCATAGTTATCCCAAAGGTGCTTTTTCACGAGGCAACTGAACTTTCTTTGTTTTCCTTGAAGACATTTTGCTTCTCATCCAAGAGCTGAAGAAGCTTCTTGAATGAGAAGTGAAACATCTTCAAAGAAAAACAAGAAAGTCCAGTTGCTTGTGAAAAAAGCACTTTTGGGCTGGCATGGTGTCAAAAACAAGACTTACTCCAGCAGCATATAAGATTGAACTATTATAGAATAGAGTACGTGCTCTAACATCAGCAATATGATTATTAATTTCAAGCTGTCTTTGTATGGTGGTTTGAGCACAGCTTTGAAATCAGGAGGGGTATGGTTCAGTAGTAAGGCATGTGTTTTGCACTTGGGCGGTCCCAAGTTCAATTTCTAGGTAGAGTTGGAAAAACTCCTGCCTGAAATCCCTAAGAACCGCTAATTCGCAAATATTGATGATTTTGGACCATTGGTCTGACACAGTATGAGTTGTTCCACAGTAGTTAAGGACTGGTCTAGGATCAAGAATATTGAATCCTAAGGTGGCCTTCAGCTATGAAAAAACTTTGGGGCATTTATTTTCTTAGTCCAGCCTACTCTCACAGACTTGCCATTACAATAATAAAAATGAAGGAAGACCCCATTAGCTCCTGGAGGAAAGATGGCATATAAATCAAGAGAACTTCCTGTGTTCTATATGGGAGCATCTGTGCAAGTAAATACTACAAAAATGCAGAGGAGGATAGACAAGTTGAACCGCAATGGTCTTCCGTGACTACTAAAACTCTTTCTGAACACAGTTCCTGAAAATCAGAACATAGTTTTTCCAGATAGGAAATGAGAGAAAATTGTAGTATATACAATTATATATATATAATCCTTCAAGTGAAATTAGTATAGGGTGGGAAACCAAATCTCCAGCCACAAGCCAAGAAAATCAGAAAATTCCATGCTCTTAACTTACTGTTGCTCACTTTGCATCATTATTGCATGCCCTATGGTCCTCTCCCAGAAATGTTAGGTATGGTAGTATCTTAGTATGGTGAATAAAGAATTGTCTTATTGTCTAAAACAGGCACGCTGGCTGAGGAATTCTGGAACTTGAAGTCCACAAGTCATAAAAGGGCCAGGTTCGAAGACCCCTGGTCTAAAATATTGTATCTGTTTGTGAAGCAGAAATAATACAAGATACCTGGTTTCTCACTTCCTTTATTCTCAGAGATTGAAAATATAGTTTAACACTGACTCTTTCTCTTTAGCTGCTCCTGTTGGTGAATGAGAAAAGGGAGATGGTTAATCTGCATTTGTAAATGTTAAACCAGAATTCTGAGCAATTCCGATCTGTTCTTATAGTGTAAATGTGACCATCATAATGTAATTTATTATTCCAAAAGGTAAAATTGAATATATATAGGTAAGCATCAGAGAACCTTGAAGATGGACTTCCAGTTCCGGATTGCGGCGCTCCTAGTCGCATGAGGAGATTCGTCTCCTCGTCAGCTAGCTTCCCTCCACCAGTAGACCCTTATGCAGGTGTAAAGTTGCCCTGGAGGGTGCGACTTCTGTTGAAGAGGCTTTGCTCGGCTGTGGAGGAGCAGTGGCTCCTCCAGCTGTCTGGGCCATCTCTGAGGGCCGATGGAGAAGAAGATCGGCCAGTAAAATGGCCGATCACCTAGCCGCTAGAAACCGCAAGTCAAAGAACAGCTAAGCTTGAAAACCCACCGTGGTGAATCTGGGTGAGATTTTTCTTTCTTTCTTTCTTTCTTTTTTTTTTTTTTTGCCTGTAAGAGCCCTGTTGGAATTATTTCCCTGGCTTGGAAAAGCAGCTTCTACATGTTGGGGAAGAAAGGCGAACAAAAGAATAGAACAAAATTTTAAAGACTGTTTTGGGGTACTGAAAATTTTTTTTCCTAAGAATTGTACTATCTGTCTATGCTGTCGTTCTTTTTTTTTTTTTTTTTTTTTTTGAGCGGTATTATTATCTTATATTGGAAGAATATTTCTTGCTCCACTTTTTCCTTAAAAAATAGAAAAAAGGGAAAAAATGACTCTTGAAAAAGATTTCTTAGCTTACTGAGGACATCTACTGGTTAAAAGCTAATATTGTAATTGTTGACTATTTGGAGATGAGATGGTTTTGGCCTTCAAACTGTTTTTTAAGAGAAAGATAACTTGATGCAGCTGAACAATTTTTAAAATGGAGCCGCATTCACATTTAAATTGTAAACTTATTCTGGAAAAGATCTATGAGGCTAAAGAAGAAATATGTGCTACAATGAAATAGTTTACTACAGAATTAAGAGCCAGAATCTCTCCTTTAAACTTCAAAATTGACTTTCAGACTACATCTGATTACTCTATAAAACAGATTACACAAGAAGAGGACTTAACTGAGAATAAAGAGAAATTGACTTCGCTTTATAAGCAGTTCACCTATAGTGTTGAGGACCAGAAAAAGCAAAGACTGAGACTTGATATGTTAAAGCAACAAGACTTTATGGTTAAGAGAAACAGAGAGCCAATGCAGAGGCCAAGATGGTTTTCACTGATCCAGATGATACTACAAGCAATAAAGAGAGACTTATCATCTGGAAGGGAAGCTCTGCTATGGAAACCTACCTGGCATAAGAAGAAGCCCAGAATAATACTGAAAAGAAGTGAAATTTAAAATTTTATGTAATGGATTAAAGGCAATCTAGAATCATGGATTGATTTAAGGACTAAGATTATGAGCTAGATGTAAGAGAAACAGGCAACTAATGGAAGATATATAAGGTTTATTTATATGAAAATTATTATTTTTAATAAGATGATTTATTTGTTTGATGCCCAATGGATTGAAATGATTTAAGGTTTGATATTATCTTGTCAGCTTAAAGAGATTGATTGATGGATTAGGTGTGTCTAGGATAGATCAATATTTTAGCTTAAAAAGGAGATATTTTTAGGTAATGGATTAAAGATAATCTAGAATTATGGGTTGATTTAAGGATTAAGATTGTGAGTTAGAAGTAAGAGAAAAAGAGGTGATTAATGGAATATGTATTAAATTGATTAAGAATGTGTTTTTTTTAGGACAATAGGTTTACTTGTAAGAAAATTATTATGTAATCTTGAGCTAATCTAATGATGATTTGTTTGTTTGATAACATGGATGTTATTAGTTATGACAATTAATTGGATGAAATTTGAATTCTGTCTAATGGATTGAAATGATTTAAGGTCTGATTTTCTTCTGTCAGCTAAAAGAGAGTGATTAATTGATGGTTTAGATACGTATAGGATATATTAATATTTTATTTTAATTAAGGGATATTAGGGAAGAAGAAATAAATAAGATTTATGATAAAATTAAGAAACTAGAACATATTTGGAAGGGATACCCAAATTGATAATGTTTGTACTTAAAGTTAATTTGATTATGGTAGTGTAAATTTATAAAGCTTTAAAAACAAGTATAGGTTGAATAAATTTAAGCTAGAATTGGACTATTTTAGATAAATTATGTTACTTAAGGGAAAAAGAGAGGGAATACTTGATGTATTGATTGAATTATGTATATACGTTTTGTCTTTGGATGTTTGACTACCTTAACACCATAGTGTGTCTTGAGCACTTTGTCTTAAAAATTTAAAAAAACAATAAAATTTGTTTAAAATAAATAAATAATGTAATTTATTATTCCAAAAGGTAAAATTGAATATATATAGCTAAGCATCAGAGAACCTTGAAGATGAAGTTCTTATTCCCACTTAGTTACTTAGAAGTAAACACTATTGAATTCAGGGTTGAATTCAATCGCTTTGTTGTGATAGCTCTGACAAGAATGGATTGTTGATTGTTCATTTAAGTGTTGTGATCTACTGAGAAATAGGTTTTATTGCATTTTGTGATGTTTTCATCTAGATAATCCCACAAAATATTAGAATTGTATCTTAATATTCAGTTTATATTTTTTGTCAGCTGTAATAATTTTAAATGTTTTAAATCTTGCCAAATATTCCATCTTGTGGTTAGGTATTATCCACTATGACTCAACTGTACCTGCTCAGATTTTATATTAAGGAACTCATAGGTCCATATGCAACTATAGAATAGGCATGTCAGTTTGCACAAGCAAAAGTTTCTTTGAAGAACTGAGCAAAGCAGCTATTTCCATAAGCAAAAAAACTGCTCTATATACAATGTAATCTTGAATAGAATTTATCTCAGTGAGACATTAAGCTATTGCTACATTTAGAATTGCTTTAAATGTTACAGTAAGAACAAGTGAGCATGTGAAAGAAACAGGAAGATCAGGGAATAATAATGTCTAGCACATAAATGTTCAGCTTTGAAGGATGGATGATCACAAGAATATAAGATATTATATTGATGAATTGCAAGTATTTGAACATTGAATTTCCAGGGAGACTTCAGATTTTTGCTTTTTAGTCTGCTATTTAATCCTGATGTGTATACAATTATTGTGATATTTATTTTTATGTTACAGTTTTGTGGATTGTATTTTGGTGAACTGCTTTGAGTCAGCTATGCTGCAACATCTTAAAAGCCACAGCAATGAATGAATCCCAGACAAAGCACAAACTAAACATTGAATAACACTATATATGCAGGGCTAGAAAAGGGTGTATCATGTGTGTAGAGAAACAGCCGAGTCCTCTGCTGCCTGCACAGAATTCTTAGCTATGTCTATTGTTGGCTTACAAAATTCTTGTACTATAAAATAAATTGGAGGCAAAGAGATAAAAATTAATATAGACTATGGGAGTGAAAATTTGAAAAGGGAAGTAACCATTCTAATCTCACAGTTATTTCATTCCTCAAAGACTTTTGGAAACAGCCAGTCATGAATAAGTTTCCTACATATATATCTTCAGGGAAGGGACCAATTTCATCTCCATGAGCAACCTGTTCTTGCTGAAAATTTATGGCATACCTTCTTTGTCTTCATACTTTATAGGCAAGTTCTACAGTGAATAATTGGGTCCTAAGCTATAAAGGGCTTTAAAGATTATATCCAGCATCTTGAATTGGCTGTCAGTGCAACTCCTACACTGTAGTAACAGATTAATGTGGTAGAAATAGGTTTGGCTTATTGACAAAAGGGCAGCTGCATTCTACATCCAGAGAATCTTCAAACATACATTGCAGTATTTGAATAAAGTTTTAACAAGGATATGAGTGTCATGACAAGCACTCATCTATTCCAGAAAAGACTGAAACTGGTACATCCACTGAAATTGGGCAAAGGACTTATTAGCCATGGCCTGTTCTTCATGCAATAGCCATTAATCCAGGCTAATGTAAAGCTGTCCTTTCAGAGGGAGCATCCTGAAGCAGCCAGCTTCTGAATTAATAGGTACTCTATCTATCAGCTATCCTAAGCTGATATTACCAATGCAGGCTCTCAAAAGCCTCCAGGCATCTGTTCTTTCACCTAGGATTGTCATGTATCATGTACAGTAGAGGTTGAACAAAATGAGGAAAGGGCTGAGTCCTGGGAGCTCATATGGGGATGCGCAGTCTTGATCTTCATTCCCAAACAATGACTGGAGTTAGGAAGGAAGGAGCAACATTATAAGACATTCTCCCATTACCAACTCTTTCAAGTGACCCAGCAGAATGCAATAGCTGATAGAATCAGATGCTGAAGTATCTAAAACAGTGGTTCTCAACCTGTGGGTCGGGACCCCATTTGGGGTCGAATGACCATTTCACGGGGGTCGCCAAACAATGCAGTCCACCATTTTTTTCCCTCTTTTCCTTAGCTGTGCTACTCCCTTTTATTCTATTGGCTTTTGAAAGCCAATAGAATAGACTCTCTTGAATAGAGTCTAATTCTATTGGCTTTCAAAAGGCAATAGGAATTGTCCAGGCTATCTCTGCCCTGCTGAGCCCGCCAAAAGCCCCATTCTGCAAATGGTGCTGCACCAGTTGAGTAGTCCTCGACTTACGACCGGTTGGGGGTCGCAGCATTAAAAAGGTTGAGAACCACTGATCTAAAAGGACAAGGAGGAACACAGAATTCTCATAATGGATCATTACAGGAGTGATCAGTGCAGTATCCATCATTCTTATTATTTTGTTCTAAATAATGCTGATTAAAAATTATGCACTCCACATTTGAGCTTCCATCCTAGCTAAGAAGCCATCCTTTGTGGTTTAACTTTCTTTGAATTAAAATACCACAGATTGTATGATCACCCATAACTTTCAAATCCTGCATTAAAGTTAGGTGTGAACTAGATTATTCTCGTATAGAATAAGACTCCTAAAATGGATTTAAGGTGGTATGAGGGGTATTGTTGCACGGGGGAAGAACCAATATGCTAAAAATGCACATGCATTTAAGTGTATTGCAAGTAATAAGATCACTGGCATTTTGTGGCATAGATCTAGAAAGGTTGACTAATTTCAACCAGTCAGTTATGAATATTTTGATCTTTGTTACCTTCCAAACTTTGAAAGAAATGAATATTGATTTCCTTTACTCCCCAGGTCTGCCAAGGCTGCCACAATGCTATTGACCCTGAAGTTCAACGTGTAAGTTACAACAACTTCAACTGGCATGCTACCACAGAGTGTTTTCTGTGCTCCTGTTGCAGCAAGTGTCTGATTGGCCAGAAGTTCATGCCAGTAGAAGGAATGGTTTTCTGCTCAGTGGAGTGCAAGAAAAAGATGATGTCCTAATGGGAAGGAAACCAAACTGTGAAACCAAGTTTTGCCTTATTTCAAAGTCCTCTGCATGTCTACTGTATTGGGGGATTTTTAACAAAATCAAAATTATTAAATGGTAAAATCCAAAGATTTTTGTATTACTAGCTTGATTGCTTATGACTTTAGTTCTTAGGCGTTTCTCTGTGCTCTTGATTTCTTGTTGCAAGATGTTTCTCAAGATAGGGACTTCAATGTAGTCATATCCTTCAAAAATGTTCTATAAAAGGATATAGAACCTCAGGCCATTAACACTGGGCTGCATTTTCCATGATGAATGTTGTTGGCCATGAGAATGAATCCTGATGAGAGTTGTGATGAGGAAGACCATTGGCTTTGTACTCTTGTCCTATAGTCCTTAGGTTTTTCTCCTATATTTGACATTATACAGATTCTTCAATAACAAAATATTGATTGGGTATGTTGTAAACCTTATACCTTATACTGGCATTTTCCAACCTAATGCATTCAAATGTGCTTTGTTATAATTCCCACACTTGCCAGCTAATAAAATACACCAATAGTGTACTTATAGTGTGAGTCTCATACTGAATTATACTGATTTAGACTCCATGAATATATGCACACATAAGCTGAGCACCTAGAACTCCATTTATTGCAACTCCCTGTATGTGCCATTATAGCATAGTGTAGGAATTACACTTTTGATATTTTTATTTGCTCAGGGGTTTTTTTAAAGGGTGACATAACATTCAAAAACTGAACCCTTTGCCTTTAGAGTATTATAATACAGTAAGGTATGTGATAGTGGCAAATATCTGTAGCTCGGGTGTAGGATGAAAATGAATGTTCATTCATCAAGCTTGTAGTTTGGTTTCTGGATGTTTTGTTACCAGGCTAGGCAGTGGTGGACTTCAAATACCCGAACAACCAGTTCTCTGTGTGCATGCTACTTCCAGAAATCTGTTCTGGGCCTGGGCCTCCGAGGCCCAGAATGGTCTTCCAGAAGTGGCATCCATGCACTTCCAATGGGCTGTTCTGGGCCTGGGAGGCCTCCCCAGTTCAGAACAGAGTTCTGGAAGCGGAGTCCATGCACTTTCCGCAGTCCGTTCTGGGCCTTGCAAAAAAGGATAGGGCTTCAGCCGGTTCACTGAAGTTAACAAAAAATTAGCTACTGGTTCTACCAAACTGGTGCAAACCAGCTGAATCCCACCACTGAGGTTAGGTAACATCTTCAGGGGGTAGTTTTTGCGTGGTGGTTGGCTGTGTGGTGCATTGTGGTTTGAGAGCTGTGAGTTGGAATACAAATTCTTTTGGATAGCCATTACAGAGAAAGACTGAAGATGTTACCTAGCCTGGTAACGAAATGTTTGGAAACCAACCCACAAGGTCAGATAACAAACCTCCTCCTTCACAATAAGGTATACAGTAGATACTTGCATCAGAAGGGAGCAGCCTTCAAGCATAATTCAGATGATTTTTTAAAAAGTCTTTTAGCTCTCATTACCGCAACAGATTGTACAGCATTTACCAATTCTGGCTGATGCTGAAAAACATTAAGCAGCACCAAATGTAATTAGTATTTATGTTAGCGACAATGATAAAGTTCTAGGACTGTTGGCTGGACATGGACATAGAAGAAAAATATCCTAGAAAAAGGAAAAGGCCAGCTATAATTTTGACAAGAAAACAATCTGTATTTATCTATTATTCCAGTGCTTCAGAGCTGAAGGAAAAATGGTGCTTCAGAGTACATATGGACATGCATATCTCTAGACCTGGGTTCTCATTCACCCTCAAACAGAGAAGCAGTTGAGCTTGACTTGAAAGTGTCTTAATTTAGTTTTCAATGGGCTTTGGGGACAAAAGTCTTGACATTTGTCATTATTTTTCAATATTTACTTAAGAACACATTTTGCTCTTTGGGGTTAGAATGTGAATCTGTAGGAGCTGGATATAAATATGCATTAGTCTTTTCATCCTGTTTTTTCAGGAGGTTGGATTTATTGTAGAATGTGGCCAGTTTACCTTGGGCAATGTAAAACCTTTGATATTAGGGACCCAATTGCCTTTTGTCCTCCAGATAAATGATTTAATTTTTTGTAATCAACATAACAGCAAATCCAGGATTCTGAAATTTTCATTAGCACAAGCTCTTTATTTGTCTTGTTTTTTTATCGCAACATTCTTAAAATATCAAAAGATGTAATTAATTCCATGAGCAATGAGGACATGGGCTGTACAATTCCAATAAACTTTTGAAAGTACAAAAAAACCAAAACTGCTCTGTTATGCTTTGCAATAGCTCTGGGTTTGCTACTTCCCCTTATACTGATTTGCTGAATCAAGTTGGATCAAAAAAGCCATTTGGACGACCTTCATTCATGTAAAGTGTAAATTGCCTCTGAAGCTGGAATAGAGGCTATGTTTGTTGGACAACCCCAAGTTCTCAGATCCTTTTTTCTCTTCATGTATTGTAAGGGGTATTGTTTTCAATGTGATGTTTCTTATATGCAAGCTTGTTCTCTTCTGATTTAAAATTCTGCTTGAACAAATCCACTTGAGTGAAGATGGCTTCCAATTGCTAATGCTTGCCCAGTCAAGAGACCCAAATATAAGATATAGCAAGCATATCTCTGTCCTCTCTTCATATATTCTAGAACCTATTCAGTCAAATATTAATATGCATAAATGGGAAGCTAGTCTTTGCCAAACAGCCAACGTCCTACATACTTTATTTCTAGAGATGCCCCTGGACTTGATCTGCAAAGCAAATACTGACTACTGGGGTTTGGGAGGCATGTGCCTGTCTGCCAAAAACAAACCTTGGGAACTTTTAAGACATGTGCACTTCCAGCCCCAGAATTCCCAAGCCAGCATGGGGAATTTTGGGAGTGGAAGTCCACACATCTTAAATTTGCCAAGGCTGGGAAACCCTAGTCTAGAATAAAGCATATGCATGTGTGTATACAGCCACAGAGAGGAAGACTGCCAGGTTGTAGGGAGCATGTAAGGGGGTAGAAGAAAGAGTGAGGAGTAACCTTACCAATTTGCCTTCTAATCAATTATATCTTCATCATGGGAATTATTTTGTATATGGACATACTTTCTCAAGAATTTGAACTGGCAGCAGCTGTAATATATTCTAAGATGTTCAAATCTGATGCAGAAAAATCAAACACTCCTGAACTTGTTTTTGATGAAAGCACCAGAAATTGAAGTGAGTAAACCAAGAAGTTACCTCATTTCATATCTGTTCAGCCAATGTCTCATTTGATATTCTTTTGAGCAGTGGAAACTTATTGACAACTTGGAATGTATTGAAAATGAACTTAATAACTGAACCACTGTTTTGCATACAAAAAATTTTCAGGTTTAATATCCTAGTAGGATTGGTCAGTTCCTTTATGTGATATCCTGGAGAGCAGCTGTCAGTTTGTATGGGAAATATGACTCAGTTTGATCACTGGGCTGACTCAGAGCTATGTACCAAGCTTTGGTTTCGTGTGATGTAATAAGTAGCATGCCAAATGTAGAAAGATATACACAAAAGATTGCATTGGGGGAAACGGGTAGAAGGTTGGCTTTGTAAACCTTATAAATTTATTTAGTTCAGTTCTTCTAAGATTAGGAACTCTGTATGCATATAAGAAGTGCTCACAAATAAAATATATTGCCGGAATTACATTTTCCTAGTTTTAGATTGCGTGTTTTATTTTCTGCCTTGGCCACTGTAATGAGCATGCTATTCCAGAAGAGGGTGATGTGTTCAAAGATTTAAAAAGAACTTGTTAAATTGAAATTTATACTTTTTACTTTGATGTTTTAAAAAAGACCAGCCTCTTTCCTTTTTCATAACTCTAGACTCTTAATAATAACTGCCTAAATAAGTCCTCCCATAGACTTATAACATATCTGTTGAAGTTTTATAATAACTATATTAATTATATTAGTTATATTATAACTATTATATTAATATTAACTATATTATATGAATAATATTAAGTAGTTGTAAATCAGATATCTGTTTAAAATTCAGTGATTTTAGTATGTACTGTATATAATCTAAGCTTTGATTTGAGTCTATAAAGATTCAGTTTAAAAATTTCAATAGGTTATAATAGAAATTCACCACAATTTCTACAGCTAATTTACTTTTTTTCACATAACAGGAAAGAAAGTAGCAGGTATAACAGTCCCTTTATATCAGGGGTTCTCAACCTTGGCAACTTTAAGACTTGTGGACTTCAACTCCCAGAATTCCTCAGCAAAGCAAAGCTGGCTGAGGAATTCTGGGAGTTGAAGTCCACAAGTCTTAAAGTTGCCAAGGTTGAGAACCCCTGCTTTATATGGTATTAGTACTGCGAAGTTTCAGCTGGATATCTTCAACAGTTTCACCACAATATTTTTTGGTATTATTACCTTGCATCTCTTAATGTGAAGATGATTTTGCATATTAGCTAAAAAAAAAACTAAATGTCTCTCATACCTAAAGTTATAGCAGATGGCAAAAAATGAATGCTAATTCCATAGTGTTGTATTTATTCTGCAGTAAATACATCTATGTACAGACATAGATGTCTTATACAAATAATCAGTGTGTGTCTAAATCATTGTTTCTCGGACTTGGCAATGTTAAGATGCATGGTCTTCAACTCCCAGAATTCCCCAGCCAGCAATGCTCCCCTACCAAGGTTGAGAAACAGTAATCTAAATCAAGGCTGTAAAATCAGAATTTCCAGGGATCCCTTAATGTAGTGCCAAAGCTCTCCAGAAACTACCCCCAACTGTAATTTATAATATACTTAAACAGTGATTAGTGAATTCATGGAAAGTAAGGCTATTGACTTCAACCTAATTTTATCTTTGCTTTTGTCCTGAATACATTTTTTTAGAGTTTAACCCCAAAGGCCAAATGTGAGTCCCACTCTTAAAAAAGATGTATTCCTGTTGTAGATGCATTTATTTATGTCATTTATTTCCTGACTCAACCCAAGCAGACTCTAAGACAGAGATCCCTAATCCCGGTCCATGAACCAGTACCGGACCGCGGCATGCCAGCAACCAGTCTGCACAAACAAGCAAAGCCCCATCCATGAGATGCAGGCAGCACACAAAACCACACACCCTCCAGCCTGCAGAAAAACCTCTCTCCACGGAACTGATCCCTGGTGCCCAAAAGGTTGGGGAACTCTGCTCTAAGGTCTACAGATGCTAAAATTAAAATGACTGCTAATCATAATAATGTAAAATCTGAAAAGTTCACTCCAATGCTGATGGGTGCATGCACTGAACACCTTCTAGCACAACCAGATTTTTGGAAGCTTTTATAAAGCTATGAGTGTGAGCCATCCTCACCTTTAGAAAATGGGGAGAAGCTGTTCCAAAGGAAGACAGAAACTCCTGACATTGTGAAAGGAGGAAACCTTCAGCAGGTGTTCTGACACTGTCCCAATTGGTCTGAAAGAATCCATCTGGGAAAGGTGGGCAATTAGTGTAGCTACACAAACCCTGAGCCTTTCAGAGCTTTTTAAGAAGTGACCAGCATCTTGAAATGAACTATCAAACAACGTATCTCTCCCAGTCAGGGGTTTGAATATTTCTAGTCATTGGTGGATATATGCATAGGGTTATAAGACCCAAGTAAGAACTTAGCATAAGTCAGGCTTGTGTAGAAATCAACAGTTTCTCATCTTTCATTTCTAGGTTTCAAAAAACAAATAAATCTTAGGCTCAGTAGTTAACTAACTCGTTTGTTAGTTGCAACTTGGTCAAAAATGTCGAAGTAACACATGTGATTCTTATTCAAAAAAAATGGATAAGATTTCAATTATGCAGTCTCAGCTGCCATCTTGATTTTTTTGACATCTCTCCCTAAACCAACCCATCCTGCCCTACCAAAATGCCCCTACTTGCTTTAACAAGACCAAAAGCTTTAATAATCTGTGACCTCCTCTCCAGCCGGTCTGACAAGATATTTCTATCTTCCTTAATATGAATTGAGTATTGCAAAAAGGATAAAGCAAGCTGTATCCTGCATGATGCTATTTAATAGGCAGAGCATTGTATTTGTACAAATTATGTTGCAATTTAAATCCAATCCTTTGCTGAGTTTTTATTCATGTTGCATTCCACTACTCAAAACATCTTAGAGTTTTATACCACTCATCACTTGTTTAATGCTCTAACTAATAAAGTAATTGTATGAGAAGTAATTTTCCATTATTGCCCATGAGCTATGGAACTTGAGCATGATTTAAACCAACCCTCTCCTAATGTGCATCTGGAATTCTAACCATTCTCCATAAGTCAGGACTGCAACCTTTACACCTGTCAAAGCCTTGGCTATGATGCCAAGAGCTTATGCAACAAATGCTAACCTACATAGAGAAGAAACTTGTTGGTAGCATTATATTAATCCAGATAAAATCCACCCATGTCTAGCTTCTCTTCTTTTTCTCCCCAATCCTTACTTGGAGTTTGCTTCCAACTTTTCTTTAAAAAGTTTTCCTGCTCCTAATCATTTGTTTGGAATAATTAGGCTATCTCAGTGGTGGCGAACCTATGGCATGCGTGCCAGAGGCGGCTATCAGAGCCCTCTCTGTTGGCATGGACACCACCGCCGCCAGCAGCAGGTCCATTAGTCTGCCCCTGCCTCCTGGAGCAGGAGCCCCGCCCAGCACAAAGGAGGCAAAGAAGCCAACTAGCAAGCTCGAGTAGCGGTGGTAGAGCAGAGGTCACCAACCATTGTCGATTGGACTGGAAGAAAAGGAAGGGGGAAGAATTTTACATGTGTGCATGCGCACATGGAGCCGCGAGCATGCATGTGCTGCAAATGGGGCAGGGCTAGTGCCTGCATGATACTAGCCCTACCCCGTTCTTGCGTGATGCAGCGCCTTGTATTTGCAACCCACAGTGTGGCAGCGGCAGTTTTTGCATCTTGCAGCATGGTGGCCCATTTTTGTGTCTCCGGTTTTTGCATCCTAGAGGTGGCACTCAGAGGCACCTCCCTGCCCACTCCGAGGGCACCACAATGCTGATGCAGCCCAGGCACTTTGCAATAAATAAGTGGGTTTTGGGTTGCGGTTTGGGCACTCAGTCTCTAAAAGGTTCGCCATCACTGGGCTATCTAGTCCTCATCAATTTTCTCTGCTTTATTTTTTTTAATACTGAAATATTCTTATTACAAAAGCTTTCTAACTATCCTTCAGGGTGTTTTTTGCATAACTTCATTTATCCAAAGGTTTTCTGATGTCACTACCATTTCTTTCTGAAGTCCTTAAACACACATTTATTTTTTTAAAAAAAATTAACATAATTAACCTTTTCACTAAGGAAATATTTGTTATGACGTTTTTACTTTCAAATGTTGATACGTTGATGGAAAACTTTGTTTTCTGATCACTTTTATTGTTATTGTTTATATGTTTGTAGATACTAGATATTCATTTCTCTAATTTCTTTTTGCCGCACTGTCTTTAAAAAGCTTTCTGAGTCCCTTTCTTATTTTCAGTCTTTTCAGGAGAATTCTCTACTTTATTCATTTCTCAGAATATGAATATCTATGCTCTGAGTACTATGAATATCTGAGTTATGATTTACATTATCCAATGTACATGTTAACATTTATTTATTTCATACTTTGTCTTAACATAAAGAGGCAGGATGGGGGCAATGTATTGTACAATTCTTGCTTGCTTGATTTACTTTTTTGACATATTTGCTGTTTTTCAGAAGGCTGTTTAATACATCATTTATAGATGGCTTAGAGAATTATTAAGCTTGACTGGTTCAGGCCACTTCACTGGCTGAGGTAAAACAAATTTCGCACAGCCAATAAATCAAGATCTGTAGCAGCCAAAATTACTTCAGCATATGACATATAACATTTCATTTTTTTTCTTCCATGCCTGGCAGTAAAAGTAAATAATTGCCTGCCTTTTATCATATCTAAAATCTGCTTACTCATGGTAGGGTTAGTGTTGTTCCTTACTATCAAACTGTGCATGAGACTAATTGAAACTGCATTATTATTATTATTATTATTATTATTATTATTATTATTATTGTTGTTGTTGTTGTTGTTGTTGTTGTTGTTGTTGTTAATATCAAAAGGGCTTTAAACTAAAATTGAGGGGGGAGGGGGCAATCTTCACAGCCTTTAGGGAACAAACAGGGTGATCTTGAAATATTAGTACATGAAGGCAGATATAATATACAGTAGTTGCCATTACTGAAACTTGGTGGGATGACTGGAATGTATTGATGGAAGGATACTAACTATTTAAAAAAAGAGACCTAACAAAAGAGAAGGTGGAGTTGCATTATATGGCGTGGATCCACATCATCTGCACCAACATGACATCCCAGGTTCTTGGGAAGAACTCAATGCATATGAAGACCAATGCTAGCTGAAGAACTGGCAGCTATGATTTCACATTATTGTATATATAACAATAATACCGTAACCCGGCCCTAAACATCTAAATGACCATAGGATGGCAGCAGAGTTAGGATTTTCTGTGTATCTTTCCCATAATCTCAAGACTTTGGACTTTGCAGCCCAAATTTGGAAACTCTGCTTAGTGGCATCAGATTTTCCTGTTTGCATCAGACTGAAGAAAGTAATATTATAGTACAGTGTTTCTCAACAAAATATAGCACTGTCCCTTTGTGGAACATGTGCA